CCCAGACTTAAAGTGTCATGTCTGATCCCTTTTGAGACTTACGGAGAGTAGGCACCTAAGTATTTTTGAGATCTGAGGCCAAGAGGCTTTGCCAATGTGATGTCAATTCTAAGTGAAACGCCTCAGGTGCTGATATTTTGTCTTTCTCTTTCTAGCTCCCACCCACTCCAAAATTTGACTTTTCCCTCTCTGATTCCTGGAATAAAGGTAAAATAACTGATTACCAAGCTCTGAAAGGAGCAAGGGGCCAAGAGTGATGTAGCTTACACCAGTCTTGTTTCAACGTTGTCCTCCTAAATTGAATGATGGAGAAGGAGCTGATAGATGTTACAGTCTGGTGGAAGAAGCATTGGGACTGGGACTGAGGAAGCATATTCTGCTTCAGACTAGCACACTGACTGACTTTGGACTTAATTTCTTGTTGTTTCAACTGTGAAATAAGGAGGAGGATGTGTGTCCATAAACCTGTCTGCCTTTTCTAACCAGGGAGCTGGTGTCTCTACCTACAAAGCTTGCTTCCTACCTGTGCCCCAAGACAGGCATGTCTGTGCTATCCTAGAATCTAAGATTGAAAGTTTCAGTAAAGTGTTCAGGGAGGTCTGTGGCCCCCACCATAAATAAGTAGAGTTTATGCACTAGTGAATTCATCAGCACTGGCAATGATCAAGGAAACTAGAGGATAAAAATAAATGATAATTTAAGAAAGGTGTACCTTTGGTTAAAGGTTGAAGACTACAGATGCTAGTATGTCTGAACTGAGCCCTGGAGTTTTCAGAAGGGATGGTCATTCCTGTTGTTACTAGAATTTTAGACATCTTGTTTGAAGGTTAAAGCATGTTATAAATACCTAGTAATAAATAGTTTTTATGGTGCAGCAAAGAGTCTTTATGTAATTGTGGGGAAACACGGTACACAAGTACTGTGACATGTCCAGCATCACCCATGGAGTCTGTGATAAGGCCAGAAATAAAATGGAACTTAGTCCAGTTCTTTGTTTCAGTCTTGTGATTGTTTCATCTCATATAAAGGCCCTGAAGTTGGAATTTCTGTGTCACAAATGTTAGACAATAAAGCTGTACTTGAACCAAGGATCATTCAGGCCACAGGGTGTTTGAAAGCATCTGAGTTAGAGCTCAGTTTTTCTTTCTGTGTTTAGAGATCTACAATGCTAGAGTAACATTGGGAAATTTGGCTTGAATGATGACCTTGGGATAATTCTTCTCTGCTTTCCTTGCAGGAGTGCAGTCAGTTATGTCTGCGTTGTCTGTAGCTCCCGCCAGGGCCTGTGAATACACGATGGAAGGCTGGAAGTATGTGAAGGATCTTGTCAAATGAACACGTTCTCCAGGGTTCATGATTCTCTCTGTCCTGTGTTGTCTTTGAGAGGATGCAGAGTCCATCGCTCTGGAGGGCAGCTCAGCCGTGTAAGGGCTACAATAAAAGACTTTGGAACTTCAATTTGTATTTGGGTTGGTTTTAGAATACAGACTGGAACAATTGCTTTTTCCTAGCGGTGATCAAAGGCTTCAGGGATCACAGATCATTTGTAATGAAGTGGTGGCCATATGCTGAGGTACTGCCTCTGTTCCAAAGCTGCCAAGCTTGGTAGCTAAACAGATTATTCTGAGGCTGAATTAATCTTGAAAGTGAATGCCATCTTATTCAAAACAAGCCAACAAGAGTTAAAAAAAAATTAAAAATCCAAGGTAACAGTAAAAGATGCTGTAAAAGATGGCTTAGGGTGTTTATACAAGCGCAGGGAGGGTAACTGAGCATGAAACATTTTGTATCTGCATGAAACATTTTGTTAGGTCGCAGTATGCTCCAGTTGGCAGACTCTGCATGTTTTCATTTTAATGTGGATGAAAACTTTTCTGAGGTCAGTTTTCAGTCTCAGCCAAGGTGTACATAAGGAGCACCAATGGCCTAGAGGGCATCACTATTGTAAAATGAAGTTACAGACTGAGTCTCTGTTTTTAACCCTTTGTGATGGGATTGTAGCATGGAGGTTGGTGAAGTCATTATATCATGGCACAGCATCAATATGAATCTGTTCCCTCCTCACAGGAAGCATGTGTGTATATCAGATGGGTTATTGTAAATGCACAGCTTGTAACCTCTCTGTTCTTGGGTCTCAGTCCCAGAGCTGCTGCTCATGCTTCTAAAACCAGGGACAGGGATTGACCTCACTGTTGGCAGCAGGGCTGTCATTTCTTCCACACTGATGTGCTAATAACAGTTGCATTGTTCTAGTCTATGCTAGTTTAGAGAGTGAGCTGAGGCACAACTATAGAACAGGAAACAGGCATTGATAGGTAGGGAGAGCACGATGAGTGCTTACTCAAATTAGGAGTCAGATTTAAAACAAGAGAATGAAGGATTTGCAGCTTTGTTTCCTTTTTTAACAAACAGTTATATGATGAAACCAATTGCCAAGAGATTTTAGAGGATTTGACTAAGGTATAAATAGCTTTAAAAAGTGCTTAAGTTAATTCCTGAGGGATG